GAGCGCTGCACCGGAATCGCAGGGCCGTAGGTAGGGATGGGCCGATATCGATACCAAATACTCGATACTATCGATACCAGGGTTTTGAAGAAAAGTATCGATACTGGCAAAAAATATCGATGTTTCGATATTTCTGCGCCTGCGCTATTTTTTCATTTTGGTCAGCGGCATCATCATGAAAATGATACCAAAAAGCCAACAAAAAGCCTAAATAGGCGTAAATACTAGAAAAATAGTTCATTTTCTATGGTGCTATAATGGTCCACGGGCAGGATGGGAGTTTCTGGTTATGTTGGTTGCAATCACTGACATATATTATTCAATGTTTATATTGTTAGCGTTGTTGCCGTTGTTAATGATTAAAAATAGTCTTTTTGTTGTTATGGTTCTTCGAGTTGGGAAAATATCGATATCGGTATCGATATCGAAAAAAAACGGCAAATATCGAGGAAATATCGTATCGAATGAAAAAGCTGGTATCGCCCATCCCTAGCCGTAGGTTCAATTCCTACCAGAGGACCTTGTGCTGCATTTTTCGCAGTCGTTCCTGGTTAGGTCTTAAAATGTATATATTCGCACTTGGATTACAAACCCTAACATTCTAATATTAATTCCACCAAGTGAAGTGTAAGAATCCAAATTATTGAAGTCCACCTTATCACAACCCGCACACCCGATTACCTAAATATACATAAACTTACGGTTAAAGCTCAACAGCTGGCCTCTGTAGCTCAGTTGGTTAGAGCGCTGCACCGGAATCGCAGGGCCGTAGGTTCAATTCCTACCAGAGGACCTTGTGCTGCATTTTTCGCAGTCGTTCCTGGTTAGGTCTTAAAATGTATATATTCTCACTTGGATTACAAACCCTAACATTCTAGTATTAAGTCCACCAAGTGAAGTGCAAGAATCCAAATTATTGAAGTCCACGTTATCATAACCCGCACACCCGATTACCCAGATATACATGAACTTACGGTTAAAGCTCAACAGCTGGCCTCTGTAGCTCACTTGGCTAGAGCGCTGCACCGGAATCGCAGGGCCGTAGGTTCAATTCCTACCAGAGGACCTTGTGCTGCATTTTTCGCAGTCGTTCCTGGTTAGGTCTTAAAATGTATATATTCTCACTTGGATTACAAACCCTAACATTCTAACATTTGAAATTAAGGATTTGGAGGTTTTGCGATATCACTGATAACTTCACTTGATAATAATATAAAACAAAACACTTCTATCTGCAACTTTTACAATCACTGATAACTTGATAATAATTTAAACCAGTCAAGTTGTAGTTTAAATAGAGAATAATACATGGGTGCACGAAATACCAGATTTATTTCGAGTGTTGAACATGAGTGTGCAGCGAACAAGTGAGCGCAGCGAACGAGTGAGATGTCATGTTCAACACGAAAAATAAATATTTCCAACCACGCATGTATTTTTCTGTTTATTATATAAAGGACAGTCTTAAATGAAAAGCGATATTTTTACAGAAAAACGATAATTGAAAAGGCGATAATTTTCACATGTGAGATTATCATGAATAATTTCACATGTGAGATTATCATTTTTATCAGTGCTCGAAATCTCTGTAAAACACAATACTTTATATAATAAAAATTCATAAATTTGAACCATGCGAGAGCATGACAACAGCAAAATGCTCTATAGTATGATGCACAATATTTTGAGAGGTGAAATACACGAACAAATCAGAGAGTGTTTGCAACACCCCTGATAATTGCTCATGAGGAATTTCAGGTGATTTCCAGTGCACTTTTAGGTAAATTTAAATAATAAGTAGATTTGCAGAAGATTTTCAAGGGAATTCAGGTAATTCTCAGGACATGAGAAAGTGAATTTGGAAAACAACTGTATTTTCGGAAAAATTATTATATGTCCTGAAAATTTTTTGTAGATCTGGAAACATTTTGGTAACCACCCCCCCCTCCCCCTCTATGTAACCTCACACACACCCAACCCCGTTCCCAGGGCCTTTTGAGGAAAGATGCGAACGGCAGCTAAGGCCCTGGTAAAGGCTGGTGAAGTAATCCACAAATTGTGAATTATTTTGTCGCGTGATATATCGGAGCAAATATATACAGGGGGTGCGATCGCGGATCGCTTTAGCTACAATATATTCGTCAATATTGCATAAACACCGAAATCGACAAATAAAGAACAAAAATCTATTTTAAAATGAAAAAATCTGTTAAAGTTCTTCCAAAAATATTGAATAAATTTGAAATTGTCTTCAAATTAGCTCTGAGAACCTTGGTTGAACTGTAAAGGAGATTTATTAAATAGACAAAGCAACAGTGCAAAACGAATGGTCGATAGAATTATTTATACTATGAATTTAATACTGTCGCAAGGAAAATGCTGCCTCGATTGTGAAACAGATATGTAAAATCACTTTAATTTAATAATATGGACTCTCAATACACCATACTACAATAGATCTTTCTTGCAAATGTCAATATCATACAGTATATTTAACAGTTAAAGGGAGTACAAGACCCAAAGAATGTCTGAAAAACAAGGAATGTCAACATCGTATGCACTTGGAATTTAAATGCTTATGTTAGCCATATGCCCTGAGTATAACCTGGTTGACCTCCATGGTTAATTAACATTTCCTGAATTTAATTGAGTTGAAATATTTTATTTGATTTTCATTCTTATCCCAAGAACATTGTGAACACACATATAGTGCTTTGGGTTTAGCTTTCAAAGGTCAAGCTTCAAAACAATTGTTGTGATCTTAATGATCAGGCATTCCCAAACAATTACATGCATGAGGGTCAAATCGGACAGAAAGCCTCCATATGCTTTATCATGCAAGGCTGAATAATATAATGAGATGGAATTAATTTCCTCATACTATTAACAAGCTCTTGTTTTTGTTTGTAATCAATTACACAAATTACTTCCCAGAACATTATTTAAGGAGATTATTTGACAAGTCAGCAGGTACATTTTTTCCTGAGCCACAATTGGGGCAATTCAGTGTCACTCATCACAACAGGCGCTCAAAATCACTCACAACATACAACAGGCAGTTCAGCATCACTCACCACAATTGACTGTTCAATACTGTGTGCCTCAGTAGGCAAATCAATAATCAATATTTTGCTCAGATCAACAACAAATATCAAAATTGAACTCATTCTCAAAACATGATACAAGGAAGTACAAGACACCTGGTGTCAAATGTCTCAAGTGACAAGATTATTCATCTCTTTTAATTTAAATACATTTTGCTGCCTTGTAATAAAGTACTATTTGTTTTGGGGACCATCAGTTGAGCAATTTAAAACATTTGCAGTGTATGCTTTATCAGTGAGACCTAAAGGTACTTAACCAAAATCTGACAATGTTTCTAGTTAACCCATTGAGCTGCAATGTGCCCTACTTACTGAAATTGACTGATTTGTGGTTTATGGTTTTTTTTGTGGCAATTCTTTGGGCATCACAAGTGCATTTGTATATCTTAATACACTGTGAGAATACAAGTATTAGTATTTAAATGACACAATATGATGTAAGTTACCTTTCAGGTATATAATTTGTATACAGCATCAGTGGTGTAACTTAACTTTTTTGACCACTTGCCCTCAGGGCAAGTTGGACATGAAAATTGGTTGCCCTGAATAAAATCCACTTGCCATCAAGCAATGGGGTACCTACGCGCGCCAGTATAAATTAGAGAGACGACATATCCACTCATTGGACTAGTGGCATTGGCTATTTATTTATTAACTTTGCCGGCATAAAATTACACAGAGTGGCCGGGACACCGCAACAGCTTATTGCCAATTACTGCGGGCCCAATTGGATACAATCAAACAAACAACAGACATTCAACTGGACAGACTAACAAACCTACGAACAAACAATATTAGTTACTAAAAGCAGCAGGATATCGGATATGTAAGACTTCGTACAGAGTTACATTTCAGGCATATAGTTTTAAATGTTCGAGGATTATCAGGATTATAATTAACTTCTAAAGATTTGTGATAGTATTCCAGTAAGGCTGATCTAAAGGAATTGAAGCAGTTCGTGTCATAATTTAGTTCATCTACGAGAGAGTTCCATATTCGACACGTTCTGACAAAAAACGACTGCTGGTAGGTATTGGTTTTACATTTGCGGACGACATATTTAGCGTTATTACTTGATGATGATCGTGTCGTTCTTTGCATAATATGAATGTCAGGAAGAGCAGACATTTCCACCAAACCGTGTGTGGTTTTGAAGAAGAGGATCAGGTCTAGGTATTCATGCCAGTAGGATACGGGACGAAGATGCAAGGATTGTAATCTTGTTTTATAGTCTACGTCTGTCGAGAATGGCAAGTTCAAAATATATTTTGTTGCCCGCCTCTGAGTTCTTTCTAAAATGTCAATAAGTTCAATCGTCTGCGGTGCCCAAATCTGGGAGGCATACCCGAAATGAGATCGAACCAGTGCAAGATACAATGTTCGTCTTGGTGCAGTACTTTTGATGAACATGGTATTTCTTCTTATATAGCCTAACAGTTGGTTTGCTTTTGACGCCTGATGGTGAACTTGCGTTTTCCACGTAAGATTTGATGCTATACATACACCAAGATCTCTTTCAGTGTCGGTTGTGTTTAATTGGTGATCGTTTATCATATATGATGATGTTACTGGTGTAATCTTTCTCGTTATTCGTTTCTGCTTGCATTTCTTTTCATTGAAGGTCAAACCAGATAGAGATGACCAGTGTTCTAAGTTTCTAAGATCACTTTGAAGTAACATAGCATCGTCCTGACATTTGACAGATGAAAATAACTTTGCGTCGTCTGCAAACATGGCTACTTCGCTGGTCTTTACTGAATCACGAAGATCGTTGACATACAGCAAAAATAGCGCTGGTCCAAGAATAGAGCCCTGCGGGACACCTGATGATACAGGAAGTGTGTTTGACGTACAACCAAGTACCGTTACACGCTGACAACGATCCGATAAGTATGACTAAAACCACTTTAGTAAATTACCACCGAAGCCGTAATTTCTCAGTTTAGTAATTAATTTCGTATGATTAATCCGATCAAAGGCTTTAGACATATCGAGATAGATCGTATCTACCTGTCCCCCATTGTCCAGAATCCTGCCAATATAGTCAATTGCCTCTAGAAGATTTGTTACACATGATTTACCTCGAAGGAACCCGTGTTGACACTTGCAGATAATCTGGGACAAATGGCACTTGATGTTCATAAGGACACAACGTTCTAGCTGTTTCGAAACAATCGATAAGAGTGAGATCGGTCTGTAGTTTTCGCAGTGATCTTTTTCACCTTTCTTAAATACAGGTACAACATTTGCTAGCTTCCATTCTTCTGGAACCGTGCCAAGGCGTAATGATTTATTAAATAATTTACAAAGAGAGGGAGCAATAATGGAGGCAGTCACTTTGAGTAGTCTGGCTGGAATTTCATCTGGACCGGTTGCTTTGTTGCTATCGAGGGTTTTAAGTAAAGTTTCAATTTCCAGTTCGCTTACAATTACTTCAGATATGAATGGGTCAGTACTTAGTTCTTCAGATTGATCAGATAAGTTGTCTGTTGCAAATACTGATGCAAAGTAAGTATTGAACATATTGGCTATTTCAGCTGGTCTCGTTGCGCTAGGTCTAATGTGAATTTGATCGGAGGAGTTGAGTGCTGCAGGCATTGAAATGAAATCGGGGATGCTGCAAGTTTTTGATTTATGTTTAAGTACAGACCAAAAGCGCTTGGGATTGTTAATAAAGTTGTTGTTAACCGAGGAGAAGAAATTCTCGCGGCTGTCACTAAGTAACCGTTTAACTTTAGAACGCATTCTCTTGTATTTCTCGTGAAGATGTGCAGTAGGAGTGGCTTTCAATCTTCGTCGAATAGAGTCTTTTTTCTTAATTTGATGGAGAATATCGCCGTTGATCCATGGTAACGGATTTCTACCTTTCAATTGCTTCTTAGGGATGAATTCTGAAACGATTGAAAGAAAAGTGTCCTTCCAACGCTTCCAATCGGTATTAATGTCATCACACGATTCTAAAATGGTTGTAGATAAGTCTATTTCACGTAAGGCAGCACAAAGACCAACCATGTCACCTTTCGTATAGTCGTATACAGTTCTGACCGACTTCCTTGGTTTTTTGATAAATGCGGAGAAATCGAATGAGATAGTATGATGGTCAGTAAAAATGGATGTTTCTTCCGGAGACAATATCTGTGTCACATTGACATGGTCTGGAGCATTTGTGATAACAAGGTCTAGTATGTTATTTCCGCGTGTAGGAGTGTTGTTGAGTTGAAGTAGATGATGATCATCCAGTAACTCAAGGAAGGAAAGTTCGTTAATACCAGCGGCTTTTTCTATCGATCTCCATGGGATGTTTGGAAGATTGAAGTCTCCCGCAATTACAACGTCTTAGTAGAGGTCACAGATTGTATCCAGAAAGATCTTAAATTTATCCATCCAACTCAGGTCAGCACTAGGAGGACGATAGCAACAACAAAATAGAATTTTCTTGTCAGTAACAGTTCGCAATTCAGTTGATACGATTTGTAAATCTTCAAATTCCTCTCCATTAGGTGAGAACTCCTTCACAGATTTAAAAGAATCCGTTTTTATCGCTACAAGGACTCCTCCACCGTATCGGTCTTTACGATCTTTTCTGTAAATGGTGAATCCGGAATGCAAAATTTCCTCATTAGATATAGAATTATTCAACCATGTCTCGTTCACACAAATAACATCAGAGTTTTCATTATATACAAGGTTTTGAAAGCGCTGAAGATTACAAACTGGCTGATTAGACACTTCATCTCGGTTAATACTCTTTAGACTTCTTGCATTGAGGACTAAGCTCTTCAACTGGCTGTTTTGAGAACGAATTTCAGTTGAGATGCAAGCAGGTCCAGGATTAGTTGCTATATCACCAGCGAGTAGAATACACAAGAGAAGGTGCAAATTACTATTCGCAATGTTAAATTGAAGGCCATATCTGTGATTAGACATGAGAGGTAAAGTAGACTTACGTAAAGTATTATCGCGCGTGGAAGACCAAAGACAACACAATCGATTTGATATTGACACTAGTTCTGGGGAAATGCTACAGATATTCTGGGGAAATGTTCTGTCGTTGGGTTGAATTTCTGATGGTTTTGATCTTATTGATAACCAGAAAGTTAAAATGAGAAAGAAGAGATATCTCAAAACTTTATTGAGCATTTTATTGAAGGTTATTTCGCTTGATTTAAACTTCATTGCAAAAGATAGTTGTTGCCATGGAGAGCGACGCCAGACGGGATTTAAATTTCAAAAGTAGCAACGGTCGAAAATAATTAATGTTGAATAATACATGAACAGTAAAATTAAATAACACCAAAATTATACAAAATAACCACAAAAACGATTCGTAGATCACACAGCAAGATTCGGACGAAAATGATAAACGGCGACAAAGATATTGTTCATTAACCAAAATTCATAGTTGTAGCGCAATAATAATACGATAGTAATACGATCCAACAAACCAAAATAACTTTACACCACGATACAAATCCAGTTTAAAATACGATGAGAGGATGCACAAAATCCTTAGCTTTAACTAAATATAAAGCTTAATATAATAGCTGAGAAATTAACTGAAAATTTTTATATTTAAGCGGAGCTCGCTCAAGCGTAAACCTAACCTATTGACCTTTTCTTTTCTTGGCTATGTTACTGCCTCAGATCTAGACTACCTCAGATCTAGCTTTGGCTCACATATTAAACAAAATTTGAATCAAGTACACTTATTTAATGTAACACTAATCACCATTATTTTTTTTTATTAGTTTTACAACAAGAAATTGAAGGCACAGACAACAGGACTAATAAAGTCCCAAATTAAGTCCTGCCATAAATTAAGTCCTGCCATATTTCGTTATCATATCATGAATAAACATTTAATAACCAAAAAGAGAATCAATGCATAATATAATCAAACAATTTAGATGAATTTGATGCAGATGATTTGCCAGCTTGAACCAATGTCGTCGAACAGCCTTTATTCTATTCGACAATAATAATATGAACTGAAAGCTGGGCAGCTTTTTGTGGCAAAGCAACTTGCCCGTTCGGGCAACCAAGAGGAAACTTTTACTTGCCCATCATGATATTCACTTGCCCCGGGCAAGTGTTAAGTTACACCTCTGAGCATAGTAGTTGCCATTTGGCAGCTGTTGGTCTGGTTGAAGTGCTCAGATAATTTGGGAAGACCCATGGCATGCTCTCTCAACAGTGAAGGTTCAAAAACACACATGCCGGAATGCTTATAGAATACCTCGCCATTTTTCCGCATTCATTGACACATAAATAAGTACAAGAATCACTTCAAAATAGTTTAAGGGTAAAGTTTAGAGATTAAATCATATGAGTATGTTAGTTTGGTTCAAATTTGACTGGGGGTTTTTGAAGAATGAGGCAATCATGTTAGATCAATTTTGAGTAAATTGACAATGTTTACAAGGAATTAATAGCGGTAAGGTGTGAAAGTTGTGGGTATTCTATAGTTGTATAAAAAAAGTGAAAAACCAAGCTAAAAGCCCCAAGAATACCTGATTGCCACAATGTCAAAGAGCATAGTTGCTGACTAAGAAACATCTATTAGACCATGTACAGTACTTGAGTCTTGTGATAATATCAGTGATATTGCTTTTGTATTATACAATATACTGTAAACTTGCTGTTAACATATTATATTAATATTCATGGTTGTCAAATATCATAAAATCAACACACAAAATTCACACACAAAGGTTTAAAATAGTGTATATTGGTATAAACGTTTAATAAAAATGCATACATACGTAACCCATGTTCGGCATGGAATTTTGTCACTTGGCACAGTACTTTAATGTTTTTTAATGTTTGTCCCACATTAAAATATATTGAGTCAATGACAGTGCAACTGTTCATATTAAAACGTTCTAATCACATTTTACATGCACATTTGTATTCAGTAGTAATCTTTTCATAAAGGTACATCAAAGTCCCAATTCAAATTCTTCACTGACAGTAGTGACAGTATGTTATTGACTCCCAAACGACAAATATTATAAAACACGCTTCCAAGCTGAAAAGAAATATATACTGTTGTCAGTCAGTGTTTAGACTCTTTGAATCTTGATCTCCGACAAGTATTGCTGTTGATTATATTCCATATTTTTTTGAAGAACATCGCAGACTATATATTTATTTCCACTGTCAGTTGAAAAGTTTATTATCATAGTTTCAGTCTCTGGTTTCAGTCGCAAAAGCTTCTATCGCCCCTTTGCACGGCCATGTTTGATAAAATCAAAGCGGCCCGCACCCCCGGTTTGAAAAGTTAAATATTCTGAAATATTCAAAATTTGAGGCATCACGTGACCAGCCTTTACCAGGGCCTTTGCTGCTTCGCCTCCTTCCTCAATAGGCCCTGGGGACGAGGTTGACACACACCCTCAGACGAAGTGCTCGTAACGGCACTGAGTATACATCTTTTGAAAACAGGCGAGGGGTTATTGCATGCATGTATTTCTAGTATAAGCTTCAATTTAAGGTAAAATTCAACCACAAACGCTCGGCAAAACGTTTTAAAATGTTCTTTACTGACAATATGTCCTGACAAATGTACTGACAATAACGCCTTACCACCTTACGTGGGCTGGAACAGCGTCAAGCGGCAAACTATCGTCGGATTTGGTATGCTGTCCCACCCCGGGTAAGGCGTTATTTTCTGTATGTATTGATTACGTCACGTCCACGTTCGTGTTTGAGCAGCCCTAAGTATTTTGAACAGTATCCGAAATTGAGGAGATTTTGGTTCCGTTTGTCGCTAAATTTGCCCAAATTATGATCAAACCATATTATTTAGAAAGATAAATCTTTGTGAAAAGATGTAATCGAATTTGTTTTGGCGTACGACAATTTTGAGCGGAGATATTTGACTTTGAAGGCGATGCGGTCGTGCCGCCAGTGATTAGCCTTTGACTGTTATATTATATATAGACGAGCACACACAATGTAGGCCACAGAAAATGTTACATCAACCGCTCCAAAAGAGCTCATGGAGTAATTAGAAGAATGCAAAGGTATTATACTATATGTCAACTATATTTTATTGTTATAATGTATTTATTTGACTAATTTAAGAATGTTTTTAAAATGGTTTTGGTTGACTTTAAATTTGTTTATAAAAACCGTTAAAAACCCGCAACACCTGATCATTCATTCTGAGATTGGGCCGCCTGTGGTCAACCATTCTTGTTTCCGCACTTTAATTAATTAAACTATCATTGACATTGCAAGAGGGTCCAGAAGGGGGGGGGGTCCCAATCCCATCTGAAATTTTGGCAAAATCCCAGTCCCAGTTGGATTTTTATTAGAAATCCCAGTCCGAGTTATTGAAATCCCAGTCAATAAAAAAGCGTTATTTAGGAATGGACCATTATTTTTATGGAAGGGGGATGGAAAATTCTTCAAAAAATTGTTTGCAAAGACAAAAAAGTGCATATAAATTGTTTGCACACATAGAGAAGAGAAAAAAATAGTTTGCAAGCTAATGAAATTGTGCAACATCAACTAACGTTTAATAACAATGAACAGAGCGCTCACTGACATACCCAGGACCTCCACCCCAAAAGCCCTGAGATGTGAGACGCTGGGCACATGTCGCAATCTACATATGGATTATAAATATTAATATATTGAATACAAATCATTTTTTGGATTCCTTTTGTCTTCACCCCAAAAGCCTGGGATGGGAGACACTGGGGACATGTCGCAATAAACATATGGATTATAAATATTAATCTATTAAAAACAGTCATTTTTTATTTTATTTTTTATAAAATAGGTAATTGTACCGGTACTGGTGTAAGACATTGTGTAGCATAAATAATGAGAGGACCAGTATCAAGGTCTTTTTTAACATACAAGCTGTTGGTGGGGGGGGGGGGTGGAATGTCCCCCTTATGCCCCTCACAAAATCACATCCACCACCAGGAAAAGTCCCTTTTTCCTAAATTTATACAAACAAACCAGCGAAAAATAACAAATTGATTCAACAAAAAGTAATTTTTAGGCATTATCCTTGTTTAACAAAATCGATTTAAATTGTTATTGTTTTTTACCACTAAGTAATGATATATTGTTGTATGAATGTTGTTCAATGTTGATATTTGTTTCGTCGCTATATATCAAAACACTTAACGACTTTTCCGTCGGAAAATAGTTAGTTTTGTTTTCCCTCGAATCTCAATGTTTCCCTCGACTTCGTCTCGGGAAACACTGAGATTCTCGGGAAAACAAAACGAACTATTTCCCTCGAGTGCAGACTTTAAGTGTATAATATATATATATATATATATATATATATATATATATATATATATATATATATATATATATATATATATATATATATATATATAAATCAATTTAGAATGAAATCCACAGCGATCAATCGATAGACAAAAACAAATTGTTTGCAGAAGGAAGCAGGCGCAAAAAAAATGTTTCCAACGACAACAACACCCTTGCGTTGTCAAAATGTCCACCCACCCCTCCTCCCAAAAGATAATGGTCGGTCTCTTATCGGTGGAGTAAACAGTTTTAAGACCTTTTAAGGTCCGACATGACGGTATTTTTTGTTGTACTTTGTCTTTGAGGTGTAACTAAGCGTTAAATTAAGTATTTACCGGAAACCAGGCATATATTCCGCTGTGGATCTGACTTGGGGACACGCATAATCAGAAAACCCAGAATTCCGGGCGCCAGAGTATGCCTGTTTGCAGGTAGTGCTGTGAATGTTATAGTTAACAACAAAAATCATGACCACAGACACCAAAAAAGGATCAAAACTGTATTTTAAAATACTTAAAACGTGGAAAAATTGGGAATCGAATCTCATTACCTCAACCCATTCGCATTTTTGAGGACTTCATTTCCCATTCCCAGTGGCCAAATCCCAGTCCCAGCAACCCAAATCCCACTTTCCCAGTCTAAAAATAGATCAATCCCAGTTCCCATTTTACCCCTTCAGGACCCTCTTGCAATGTAGTGTCGAAATTTCAAAGGCAAAACTTGTAGTATTATAAATGTTGGGAATTGTAGTATATCTTGCCGTGTATTATATTTGATATTTTGTTCAAAGGCAAAACTCGTAGTATTAATGTGAATTGTATTTCTATCCATGTACAGTACAAGGCCTGTTCTAAACGTCGCATTTCAATGAGCCGAATGCATTCAAAACAATATATTGATAATCAGCTAAAATGCCTCATTATCCATTGTTTTGAATGCATTCGGCGCATGTAAAATGCGACGTTTAGAACAGGCTTTATATTTGATATTTTGTAAAAACATTAAACACGTTATTGAAATCACAATCATTTCAATCTTTCATGCATGAAATACAAAATAATATAGAAATGGTTGAATGCATGGTTTTTGGCAAGCGCGCTAAAAATAGCAGATGCATACATGCACTGCATGTAAACAAAACATTTAATACGTACCGAGTCAGATTGTAAAAACTTGCAAAATCGAATAAGGTCTTTTTTCATAGTCTTAGAGAAAAATAACAGAATTACAAAATATTCAGCCCAAATCAAATCGAAATCGGACTTTGCATCAGAATTTGATCTGCAACTCACTCAGAAATGGAGTAAAAGTAATTAAAACTTGCGATGTGCCTATAAAATCCTCAATAATACTGAATGTAAACAAAACATTTAATACATACTGTACAGAGCCGGATTGCAAAAACTTGCAAATAATGTCTTTTTTTCACTGTCTCAGAGAAGAATAACAGAATTACAGAACATTCAGCCTAAATCAAATTGAAATCTGGCTTTGCATCAGAATTTGATCTGCAACTCACTCAGAAATCGAGTAAAGTAAAATTGCGATGAAATATACTGTATGTATTAAACAAAACATTTAATGCATTATACAGAGAGCCAGATTGCAAAAACTTGCAAATAAGGTCTTTTTTAGAGAAGAATAACAGAATTACAGAATATTCAGCCCAAATGACAAATCAAATCGGACTTTGTATCAAAATTTGAACCGCAACTCACTCGAGTAAAGTAAAATTGCGATGGGCTTAATAATACTGACCACTGTAAATAATACTGACCATTCCAATTTCCATTTGTTATTTGGCATGAAGAATATATTTCATCGCATGTCGCACGAAAAATTGTCAGCCGGTGAGAGGCGAAAGGCCCGTAAAATTTACTGTAAATCACTGAATAAAGACTGAAAGTTCTCAAAATAGCCGGTGCGAGGCGAAAAGGCGGTAGGATTTAAATCACTGTAGGAAAAGTTCCGTGTACGTACGAACGCACCATAATGCATTGCGCTTGAGCTCGATGAGCCACCAAACTATGTAGCCTGCTAACAGACGTTGTTATTCTTATAGGCCGTGCATGGGCTGTTGTGCGAAAAAGTGCCTAGAAAAGCAATTTCGTGGCACCTTCCTGGGAAATAGATTTTCTATGGTTCAATTCATAGTAGCCTACCATAGATGCTTAATTACCACAAAAAGTTCCCAAGCAAAAAACTTGCCCAACACCGAGAAAATGGGTGATCAGTGATTATCCTCTATTAAATTGTATTACAGCACGAAAACGTAAAATTTTGTATTCAATTACAACAAAAATTACTTGCATTATCAGAAAGCTTACAAAAACCTACACATAAGACATTTAAATAGTTATTTTTTATCTAAAATAGTTGTCGAGTTATACGCAATCTCGTACCCAGAGCCATCGTTGAGTGGCTCTGGCCACACGGGATTGAAAAACGATCCTGATTGGTCGATCCATAAGTTATTGAACCCATACCCCCTGTGGCGTTCACGAGCGCGGCCAATATGAGTGAATACAATATATTTTGCTTTATTTGGCCTGAAAAGTTAGTTGGCCTTATTTTGACGAATTTTTTGTTGCTTTTCGTCCGGAAAAGTGGTGAAGGGATTAAGGAGTTGATTTATGCATACTTGAATTCATTTGGGCAAAATAACAGCCTTTGTTATGGTAATAATTCGTACTCTTGGTTTACCCTGAGTGAGTATTGATGGGAATGATGGCATATGTCCTTGATCTATTATATTGGAGTGTTATTATTGAAAAGAAATTCAAGCGTACAAGACTTACAAGCGTACACGTATGCTAGGACTGTGTTTATACAAGATTTGGGATTTTTTAATTGAACTGTATAAAATGTATGAATCATCATGGTGTGAATGTAACAATTATAAAACAGCATTTGGATTCTTTTGCAACTTGTCAATTCGTTTGATAGAATTGTTTGGTGATACAATATACTGTTTCTGTTTACAGTATTGCCTGTACAACTCTGTCAGAATCATTGGTGTTAGTATAGCCAAAAAAGGTTTCATTAAAGGCCATGTAAAGTATGTAATGTAAACAACCCATCAAAACCTTTGTTTACATATTTCTGAACCCAGTGCTAATTGCTAAAGTTGTAAAATATTAGATATATGTATATTATACTAAATTTTTAACACTTTTCTGGTTCGTTATGCTTGTAAGTGAATACAGACTAGATATTCAATTCAAGAAAGTATGGAAGGTACAAAATATTAATAACATTCCAATGGTCGGGTCCCGACCATTGGAGTGTAGGCCCGAAGAACGCATGCGCAGAACAGACTTTACATGGTCTTTAACAATAGCAGGATGTACTACGTTACAGTATGTAATAATATGAAACCGTCTACACAATTTATACAATGGTTCCACTAAAATTGGTAAATAAATGATTGTCAACTATTCCATAGCAGAAACTCAACATTGGCTACTAACTCTTGACGAACGGCCTTCGCTAGAAATGTGAAATTTCTGCTTGATTTTTTTCAGGTAGCACTATATATAAATATCAGATATTCATTCTTGTAATGGCCAACTGAGTGTGCAGCAAGTAACAATTGTATTTGAAGTCAAATGCGCAACAAAAACAACTTTACTTTTTCAGAATAAGCCTACTAAAACCAAATTATAGGTTTATTAGTAAACTATCATAATAACTTCATACATCTTTAACAATTTCAGGACCGCCGAAAGTAGGAATGCAGGCAAAATCCCAGCTCAAAAGGGCCTCCAAAGCACAAAAAGTTGTGTCAGTGCCAGATAATATACAGTAAAGTGTAATATATTGTTATGATGTCATATAGGGACCCCTGGGAAAACTTAATGATGTCATATGCTTTCCCTGGAAAAATTTTACTCTGGGCCCTGCACAACCTCCCAGTGGTGCCATAAAATGAATTGCAAGTTCTAAAAAACCTTTATTGATTTCAGTAATGTGTCATTCTACACATCAACCTAACAAGCAATACAAGCATGAAAGTATAAATGATATTAAATTTATTCAAGCAGTACATTGTTATTAGTCAGGCCAGGTGTGATTCTTGATTCTTTTTATCTACTTTTTATCACATAACTAATGAGAAATGCCACTTTTCCAACAATACTACAACCTCGTTCCCAGGCTATTTGCTCTTGGGAAGCAAAGTCCCTGGTCGGAGCTGGTCACGTGACGCATTGAAAGTTGATAGCCCAAGAGGGGGGTGGAAAAGTCTCATATTACATGTTTCCACTTCCGCACTTCGATTGCAAGGAGTGGCCGTTCTGTACAATCATTAATTCATCTTCAAGAATCATATATACCTCAAACTACTTGCTAAATTGGTTTCAGTTTGCTTTTAAATTATACAAACATGCTAAAATGCAGATTCTTATGGCAACAGAAAATTCAGGAAATCAAG